TCTGAGGCTTGAAGCCAGGGCTTCATGTATGCTAGGCAAACACTATTCCACTGAGCCAGGTTACCAGCCCCATGTATTTACATCTTAAAACATGAGAAAACATGACACATAGGGGAATGCTGATGAGGAACAGGGAATGGTTTTGACAGGACAGTATGACGTAAGAATGTGGAATAAGAACACTCCTACATGGAGGAGTGGTTTCCAGAGGTTGGGAGGGGACTTAATGTATAATAGAGCTGAGTTTAATTTTCACAAGATTAAAAGTTCCTGGACCTGAGTGGTGATGATGGCTGCATAATATGAATGTACATAGAGACACAAAACTACATTCTTAAAATGTTGGAACTTTATGTTACATAGATTTAGCCATAATATGAAACATTTTCAAAAGTATATATATATATATATATATATATATATATATATATATATTTCTCAAAAAAGCACAGCAGCCACCTATTACCATAAAGAGTTTCAAGACACATACCCAAGAGGGAAAGTAACATACAACTTGTATCACAGTAAGATGCAATTTTCTTAACCTATAATCACTCCTGTAAATCAATAAAAGTCTCAACAAACCAAGATGAAAATAGAAAATGACTTCAACTTTTCACAAGGCAGGAGAATAAATTGCTCTTGTTTATGTGGCTGCACGGTCCACTGAAGTATTCACGCCTTTTTACTCTTATCAGATAATCAAAGATCAAGATGGTTGATGGCACAATCGATTGATTAATGACACCCTTGTTACTACCTGGTGTAGGGAGAGAAACCTGGCAGTGGTACCAGTGGCTGAGACAGCACCGTTTAGTCACAATCGCCAACTTACACAATGCACACATCTTTTGTTCCAGCAGTTCCTCTGGAGAGTGTCACTGCTACGCTCACACACGTGCAAAGGATGTGTGTGCAGAAGTATTCACAGCAGCACTGTAGCAGCAAAAGCCTGGAGAAAAGGATTCAACACAGTGTAGGACCACTGGAAGGAATGAATCGGTGGCGTGTGAACTAATGTGAAACAAACTCCAAGATTTATTTTTATAAGACAGGGACCTGCAGCACAGACTACTGTCACCATCTGTTGATAGTGGTGTCTACCCAGCACCCACTGGTCATGGAAATGTGTATGAGACATCGCTCACACCGCACGCTCAGGAGTAAAATTGTGGACACTGGGCCAGGGGAGGGTCATATTCTTTCCCGTGTTATTAGTGTCCTGTGGCTGTGTGATTAATTACCTCGAACTTAGCAACTTAAATGTACTTGGGCTATTCTGGAGGCTAAACCTGAAGCCAAAAAGGCTGAGCAAGACATCGACAGAGCCCTGAGCTCTCTGGTGGCTGCCTGGGACCCTTCCTGGCCTCTTCCAGGTGCAGGTGGCTCCAGCAGCCTTGACTCCTGGTGGCCATCGTTCCCATTCTTGCTTCTATCGTCCATGGGGAAGGTGAAATATTGTGTCCCAGGCACAAGGAGTGACCTCTCCTCTTGCTACAAGGATCCCAGCCAATGGGTTTAGTGCTAACTCTAAATCTAGGATAATTTTCTCTTGAAGTCCTAAATTAATCAGATTTGCTGAGATCTTAGGTCACATCCTCAGATCCTGAGTGTTCACAGATTTTTGAGGGATACTGTTTGCCTAGGACACTTGTCTGTTCTCTTGGACAGGCATCCCATGTTCCATCCAGGCTACTGCAAGCCTATAGATTGGTGTCCCTCACCCTGAGGCTTTCATTATTCACACCCAGAGCTGTGCTAAACCTATTTAGTTAGCACAGGTGCTTAAGCCATAGTCACATGCTGCAGATCGGCCACCTTCAAACAGCCCCACCCACGAGTGCATGAAGCTTTGGGGAACATCCAGATGTGAGTCATAACACGGAGCTTATGAAATGTTAGCTGTGTGTATTTATTATCTACTAAAATAAATGGATTGGAAAACACTGCGAGTAACACAAACCCCCCACACATCCATGCTTTTTTAGGGTCTTACGGTTCAGAACTGAAGGGTCCTTCAGACGCTTCTGTGTTGAAGGCTTGGTCCCAGGAACAGCTGTGTTCAGAGGTGGGACGTTGTGGGTGACTGAATCACAGGAGCACTGACCTCACAAGTACTTATTGACAGTTTCACAGCTTCATAGCTTTGGGAAGAGACACCTTCTTACCAAGAAGCTCTCTCTCTGCTCCCGGCCACTGTAAATTGGGCAGCTCGTTTGGCCATCACTCCCCACTGTGACATTCTGCCTTGACACAGGCCCAGCCAACAGACCCAATGACCGTGGACCAGAGGCTCTGAAACCATGAGCCCAAACAAACCTTTCCTCCTTTACCCTGATTTTCTCGGGTTCTTGTTATAATGACGAAATGGTGACTAACAGGTGTAAAGAGGAAGCTTTTAGAGTGGTACCCATGAGGCGAGAATGACACCAGTCATGTGAGGACAGGACATAAGAGGAAATAGACATGACAGTTTGGATCAAACAGCTGCGCTGAATTCCAGCCAGAATGACCGTGAGGAGACTGACTGGTGCTGCTTTAGCATCTGAGTATAGGGAAGGAGCAACACAGACAACTTTCTAGTCTTGCATCCTCAAGTTCAGTCTAGTTGGACTCCAAGAGGAATGGTCCTGTGAGGCCAGTGCCCTGTGCAGCTGACAGTTGTGTGACTGTGTCACCTGGGATCCAGGCCAGGGTGTGGGTACTCGGGTTGTGATGGGCACATGGTGGGGCCACCACTGCCTGGGAGTGAGGATCCCCGAGGGCATCTTAGCAGGGTAGCTAGGTGGTAGGTGGGCAGATGGGCCAGGAAAATTCAGGGTCCTGCTGCTCACCAGCTGGGCTGCTCTGGGAGAGAGCCACAGCAGGCCAAAGACCTCCAGGTGATAATTCTTTCCAAGAAGACTATTTCTGGAAAAATAACTAAAATATATTCTGCATGAACCTGGGTTTGCTAAGATGTTTTCTCTCTGTGCCCCAAGTCTTCAGGGCTGTTTACTCCTTACTGTTCAATGGTGACCCGAGGCCTTCATGCCCTAGTGAAATTATTACAGTGGGACTTGCGGGTCCATGATAGGCACCTTGAGCCACGGGGCTGCTGTGCCCCCATCCCCTGCTTCCACCCGTGCCCCTGCCTGCCTTGCAGAGGAACCATGACTACCTTTGTTGTCAACTACTTTGTTCTTAAGTAGCCTCATCCTACTGTACGGGAGGACCCCAGAACTTGTGTTTCCTATCTCACTGTAACTTTGTTGACCAATCCTTCCCCTTTAATTGTTTAGACTCTGGCAGCCACTTTTCTACTCTCACCTTCTGGCAGATCGAACCCCTTAGATCCCTCAGTGAGTGAGATCCTGCAGTCTTTGTACATCTATGTCCAATGCATGCCATTTAATGCAGTGTCTTCCGGTTCCAACCCTGTAGCTGCAACTGGCAGTCTCCCTCCTTTTCCTGGTGGCATCATACTGTGTATATGTGTCACTTTTTTTGCTATATTTTTGCATCTATGAGAGCTACTTTCAATTCCAAATTTCCTTCTTCAGAGAAAATAAGTGCAGAGATAGAGAAGGGAACCAAAGTCTGGACAAAGTCAGGTATGGAGGCTTCCAAGAAGTTTCTCGTACATTCTCCTTATGTGTGGAAGTAGCCTGTCTCCAGACCCAGCTCGCAGCCTTTGACGACAGGTCCAAACCTCAGTGCTGCAGAGAGGCGACAGAAGGCACCTGTCTCGCAGGGGTACGGGAATTCCTGGGTATCAGAACCAAGTGCCACTGGCTTCCCTTCTGCACCAGGAGGCTGGAGGGGTTTTCACTGTGGGTTTTTGTTTGTCCTTCGGATTGGAAAGCTGTGGGTAGAGATGTGCCCTGTAAGGGATGAATCACGGTGTGGCCTGGCAGGAATGATCTACGGAGGCGCTGGGGGTGAGAAACCCAGGGGCCGAGATGTGAGCGATGATTCCAGGCTGGGAGCGCGATGACAGGTCCACGGCTCCAGATGGCCTCTCACATCTCCGCTCACCTTGCTGAAACAAAGGACCCCATTTATTCAGGAGAAGGAACTGGATCAGGACCCTCCACCCCGGGGCTGAGTGTGCTGGTCTGCACAGCTCCCCTCTGCTCCTGCCCAGGGCCGCTGCCCAGCTAGCACAGAAGGACACAAGGAGCGCACCGGTCAGTTTTCAGTCAAGAAACCCTCCTTCAGGAAGAAAATCATGCAGAGAGGTTTTGCCACAACATCACTGTGCTCAGGTGACACATTTTTTAACTGTAGAGATGCTCATAAACCTTTACAACACGTGGGTCCTCACTGTGGTGGCCTCTCGCACACCTTTTGTGTTTTATATTACTTATTTGTGTCTTACTGCCTTTCATCTTATTTTCCCAAAGCTTGTTTCATGGCTGATTTCCTGGAATCTTCTTTTGCTTCTGTCTGAAAGGTTTGCGGCTAGATTTCTCTTATTGAATAAAACTGCTTTTTTTCTCCCTCCCCTTCTCCTTCCCTCCCCCATCCCACTCTCTCCTCTCGCTTTCCTTTCTCCCTCTGGTTCTCTTCCTTCTAATTTCTTTGGGTTTATTATGTTATTGTTTCTCCTGGATTCTTGGGTAGAAAACTTAATTTATTTAAATCTATGTTTGACTCTAATCACTCTTTCTGAGCATGTTGAAATCTGCCACTATGTAGAACTTGTTCACTATTTTGAAGCTACAGTGATTTTCTATCAAAGCTTGTCACATCCCTGAACAATGCACGGTTTACATTTTTCTTGTATTTACATAGGGATTGAACTCAGAGCCCTGGCAGTGAGCCACCACTTCAGCCCCTGATCCCCACACCCTTTAAGACAGTGTCTGACTAGACTGAAATTCTGTAGGATCTTCTGCTCTTTCTGCCTCAGCCTTCTGGAGGGCCGGGATGACAGGCAGGCACCCTCACACCGAGCTAAGGTTTTAGTACCTTTGGAAATCACTGGAAGGCAGGCGCAAGCTCTTTATTCTTCTGTCTTGTTTATTTCGCTTGCCATGGCGTTTCTGAGACTGGGGCGTGACTGTGGGGTCAGGGTGTGGCCTGCGGGCTGGTGGGGGCATCGGCTTCGCTTTGCTCTGGAACACCCCAGGCCGTGCATGCCTGGTAGGCAAGCACCCCGTTTCTTCACCAAGCTGCACCTCCAGCCCACGCACACTATTTTCAGGTTGCAGGTTTACATAGGAACCAAGGTCCTCACCCATTTCGTTTCCCTTGCTGAACATTTCAGGGGATTTTTGAGTTGGTGAATGTAGACCGTCACCACTGACTTTTCCTGTAACACAGTCGCGTGGTTTTTTGGTGTGTGTCTCTTGCTGAGGCCCTCAAGTTGGGACTTTTTGTTTCATTTCAGGTTTCTTGTTTAATCAAGCGTCCTTCTCCGTACGTGCTTGGGTCCCTCAAGAAAGTCACCTCAGGACCAAGCACTTAGACACAGGCCACGCAGACCTTCAGCTCTGGTTGAGTCTCTGCAGCAATCAGGTGACGCCGGCTCCTGAGGGGCACCTCTGCAAGCGCTCACGGTCAGTGTCCTGGGCTCTTTTAAAAGCCCATCAGCATATGCTTGCAGTCTGTAGGCTTATCACCTCTTCCATTGTGGGTTGACAGTATTTTCTCCTACTGCCTCCAGTTGTTGGACTGATCTTTCTTACATTTTTAAATTTATTGGAAATTAGTTATCAAGACATTATGAGAGCCATTGAGAACAGATTTTGGTGTTTCTGGTAACAATGAAGTCTGGCTTTATTTTTCTGCCTTGAGTTAATCTGTGGTCTGAGCACCATTTATGGAGTGACCCACCCTCTTCCCACCAGCTGAGACTGCGCCCTTTAACTCCCTGGACCCCATGGGCTCAGCAGCCTCACTCCTGCAGGATCACCTAGGGTCAGTCTATTATGTGCCATTCTTGCTTCACAGTAAGCATTAATGTGCCCCGATGCAATCCCGTGCCATTTTTCTGATTAAAATTTTTAGTTTCTGTTGTCTAATGAACTTTAGAATCACTTTTTCAAGTTCAAAGAAAGCCATGCACTATTGCAGATATTTTTAAACTCAGTGAGTCATTTTTCTTAATCTTGTTCATGGAAAAATAATTGATTTTTTATTACATAAATCCCATCAATATTCTTCTTTGTACCTCCTAGTTCCGATGACATATTCATTTTTAAATTTTAGCTGGTCATGAAAATATTTTAAAATGTAAGCAGACATTTTCTCAGATTGTTTGATTCTCCTAATTTTCCTTGGGAAGACTGAAACTCAACTTTTATCCAGGTATTTGTTATAAGCAGAGTCCAGGATGACAGAATCCTTCAGCTTTCTATTGCTTTAATACAATTAATGATGACTTCTCTCTCTCCTCACTGATCTGAAAAGTATTTTCCTGTGTGGGACATTGTTTCCTGTCCTGAGGGGGCTTTGGGGTCTGTGGCCTGGCCTGCCTCTCCTCTGCTATTGTAATTACCATGGCCTGGCCCAATGCCCTCCTGGACCTCAGCTGGAACTCCGTGGTCCTCAGCATCTGAATGGAGGTGCTGGCTGGGCCTCAGAAAGCCCGGTGGGGGGACGTGGAGGGCAGCTTCTCATTGCCCTGCACTCTGTGCTTCTTCAGCCAGTGGCTCCCCTTCCTCAGGTCATCGTCCATAACCCTCAACTGTGTCACAGCTCTGTGGTAGGTGTTCTGACAACCGGACACTCAAGAATGCCTTATTTTGCACTGCAAATTCAAATGCATTTTGAGTCAGATCCATCATTAAATACAAAACACAGCCAACTTGAAAGAAGCAAGGGAAAAGACCCGGGAGCCAAAATCAGAAGGAAAATTTAAAGTCAGATCAGGAAACCAGGTGTAATTACTTCTGCAGTGGTGAATTTGAGTGGCCAGGGTGCCAGCAGCATACAGGACTCAGGAGGGGTTCAGCCCCTGAGCCTGTGTGAGCCAGCCACGGGCTGCAGAGGTGGACACCTGCCCAGGCACCCAAGCCAGGGCTCCTCACGCCCACGCGCACGACCAGCTGTGGCTTTAACCCACCCAGGGAGAGGGAACTGGATGTGAGCTTTTGCATAGAACCACAGCTTAAACCCCCTTTTCCTGGCAAGGAATACTATGACTGGGCCTGTGCTCTGAGGCCCAGGAGAGAGCCCCACAGAGTGTTTTAGAAAACCAGCTGCTCCCACCAGCACCCCAAATCCGGATCAGGTCCAGGAAATGCAACGAGGGAAACAGAGCAATTGTTTGCACTGACATACAGCAAGTGTTTTAGAGGCCACAGGATTATAATAAAAATTTAAAAAGAGTATAGATTAACCTCCAGTGACTGCAGAAAATTTATTCATTTTTCTGCAGCTGATAGAAAAATCAGACATTTACTCTACCTTTCCTGCACCAACTGTGCCTCAGGGTAAGTGAATAGTTGATTAGAAAGGATTCCTCCGTGGAGCGCATCCGGTGGATGACTGCAGAAGGGTGGGTGGTTAGGACACACCCACTTTGTTTTCTCCATGAAATGAGAGATCTGAGTGATCATCACCACACTGTCAACACCGTTAGCCATGGGCCGGTGGGAGCATTGCAAGCGCTAATGAAACAGAGCCCTGAATCAAAGGATCAATCACTAGTCACAAAAGACGACGATCAGCTGGGTATGCCACGCGAGCTGATGCCACAGGGATTTTATAGCTTCTGGGAAGTACTTGCTCATCCAAATTAAATTTGTGTGTCCCCAGGCCTTGGGATCTGACATGATAAGAGATTCTGAAAGTGGAAGAACAAGTTAAATATAGTCATCAAGAGGTAGTCTGCCCAATCCAAACCACAGGAAATTTCACGGGACACATGACCACGTTCCTTTAACAGATAAATTACCAAAACAAAGCGAGAAGAACCAGGGTGTCATCGATCAACACAGACTGGAGAGGGAGGCATTGTATTTGTTTCCAATGACTGCTGTAATAAATCACCACAGACTTAGTGGTTTAAAGAGACAGGTTTATTCTCTCAGTCTGGTAAGTCAGGCGTTTTATCCGGTTCTGCAGAGCTGCTTTTCTCAGGAGAGTCCGGGGAGAATCTCCTCCTTGTCCTCTCGGACCCTGAGATGCTGTGTTCATTACCCCAGATCAGCCCAGCTTTGCTGCCACCATCACAAGTCTCCTCTTCGGTCCTCCTGCTTTCCGTTTTATATAGTCTCGTGTGTTTGCTGCAGGCTCGCTCAGATGGTCTGAGGTGATCTCCTTCCCCATGAGAGCCTTGGTTCTTTAACATCTGAAGAGTCCCTGTTGCCATGGTGGGTAACATTCACAGGACAAGGGCATTCAGATATGGACTTCCTCAGGGGAACCTGGTTCAGGTATATTAAATACATATGGGGGTTTAATTCTGTAAGTGAACAAATCATAAATAATGCTAAAATAAAAATGGTTGAATTGGGTGCAAAAATGACTTGTAAATTAGGAACACAGAGTTGGTTCAGAAGCTAAGTAAGGGCACTGTGAAGGTTAAGCAGGTGTTATGGATTAAGAACTGGTGGTCGACTTAATGCCAGCTGGATTACATCAGCATGGTGCTGAGCGTGGATGCTCTACCTGAGGAAAGTTGCCAGCGTGGAGAAGGAGAAGCTATGCCTTAATGCATTGTTGCGTTGAGGCATTGAGACATTGTGGGTTCTCCTACGAGTTTCTGTTTGAGCTACTGGTTCTCCTGGAGAAGCTCTGGTCCTCACATCGAACATTGCTTCCTGGGTCCGGAGAGGAAGACTGTGTCACTTGGTCTCCAGGATGAACTCGTCATGCTGGCTTCCTGACATGTACTCAACTGTGCTTGTCGGAGGAGGAGCTCAGGGCCTCCGTGTTGCTGAGGATGCTGTGGTTCTTTTCAGGACAGCCCTGGTCTTTGTTGTGATTGTGACTTCTCAGCTCCAGTGTAGAACCCTCATTCCACCAGCACAGCTCCTTCACCCCGCTGGCATGGACTTTCTGGCTTCCACCACTGACCTTTAGGGCTTCCCAGCACAGATCCGTAAAACATATGGGCATGAGTCTTTTTTGTGGGCTCTGGACCTCCAGTTGGACTCGTGGAAGGCAATGTCACAAGCTCTGGGTTTTCATCTGGACTCATGTGGGACATTGCTGTGGGATTCAGGCCCTTGGCTAAATATTCTATGTCTTTGGTATTGTGGATAGGTTTCCTGCAGCTTCTTGTGTTAACTCTGGGTGATCATCATAAAGTAATGTTATCATCATAAAGTAAACTCCATGTCCTGATTCTAATTGTTCTCTGAACAACCTCTGACTAGAGCAGTGAGACTGAATCTTTTGCAATAAAAGAATAAATGTGCAACTTGGCATTTTGGACTTCGGAGGGAACATAAGCAGGAATGAGGTAACCCAGCAGTTGGAAAATAGATGGCCAAGTCAGGATGATTAAACACTTTGCAAATTCAGGCCATATGCAGGCTGCTGAGGGGAAGCAGACACCAGGGCTTCCCCTTGAGTTGGCAACATTCAGGGACTGTGGGGGAGGAGAACAAGACGCCAATAAGAAGCCAAGCCCTTGTGAGCTGGCGCCTCGCACAGGCCACTGCGGGGAGAACCAGATGCCAGCCTCTTCTGACACATGGGCTGAGAGATAAGAAGAGCTAAGGTTCCCCCCCCCCCCCACCAAGTGACTGGCTGGTCCAGAAAAACACAGATTGTGATGATACCTATAGAAGTAAAACACAACTTAATGCTTGTGGTGTTTAGTGTTTTACTGACTTTGTGGCCTAAAGCCCACAGTCTGATCATCTATGCAGAGGATAATAATACGCAGCGTAGCATTTAGGTGGCATCTTCCTTCTGAAGGCGGTAACCATTGTTAATTCCTTATTATCTTGTTTTGACATCCTGTATCATTTTCATTGTTTTGTTGGGTTGGGTTTTATTCTGTTTTGTCTTGTTTGATTTTATTGTATTGAATGGCACTCAAAGATCTGACATGCATGCTGGGAGTGCCAAGCACCCTGGGAACTTCCCATGAACCCCAAGTAGGGTGGAATTCAGGCATTTGCAGCACCCACAGCAGGTACAGCAGCGTCTCCACCTCAGCAGGCTGGGGGCCCCTTAAGGACAGATTGTACTACCGTGCCAATGAGGCCTTGAGGGTTTTTCCAAGCAATAAAATTATAGGTGTGAAATACATTTGAACTATTTTCTCCAAAGCACATCACAGAAATCACAAGAGGATGCAAAAGATGACTTCCTCCCATTAAAATGGCTGAAACAGAAGTGATAAAAATAAATTTGTGGTTAAAAATACCCGAGGACTGGTAGGGCAACAGGCTATCATTACTCAGAATCTGGCCTGCAATTAATGACTCCACAAGGTTGCAAATTGCTGACTTCTTCAGCAGTTTCACGTGTGGTCCTCGCTCACTGTGTTTGTGGAAGGCAGGTCTCACCAGAGAGGCTTCCTGCAGTTTGAGAACCCACGTGGTAAGTGGGGTCTTGCGCTCATGGTTTTGGTGTGCAGGTGCCTGCAGCACTGGCTGGGAGTTCTTTTGTCTTTACAGAATCGCCAAAGAAAATACGATGGACATTAATCATACTCCGTGACTGATAATTGTCAGCTGTATTGTTGTTGCTGTTCGAGTGACCTCACTAAGAACCTCTACAATGGCTGGACATTTCAAACAGGGTAATGTGGCACTTGAACTTCTAAACACAGGGCGGACTGTGGGCTGAGAGCAACTCCATCTTCTGGTTTGGCTTTCAGCTGCTATCTCCTGCTTTTTCTTTTAGCCACATTTAAGGGCGAGTGAGGAGGGTACAGGAGTTCAAATCTAGAGTGCAAATTTGTTCTCCTCTTCCCCTTTCTTCTTTTCTTCCTCCTCTTCTTCCTTCTCCTCCTCCCTCTCCTTTTTCTCATAAACAAGATCAAACCCAGCCCTTTGTGCATAGCTAGGAAGAGCTCTACCACTGAACTACACTCCCAGCCCAGGTTTCCTGAGAACGGGATATAAAAGTGTTACCTGTTGGAATTTTCACTCTGGTTAGCATTAGCACTTGGGGGAAAATGGTGAAGAGAGACGCTTACTGAGTGACAGTTACCTGAGTGAAAGCTGTGTGCGTGCAGCCAGCGTCTGACCACAAGCACTCACCTCCCTAACTCGTTTCCTTCTTGCTGGCTATTTTTCGGTGGAGCTGAGATGCTCTGCAATGTTGGCAGCTTCACTGTGCACTTTCCCAGTGGTGAGCAGCCTCTCTGGTCCCTTTTTAGAGTTGTTGGAGAGCTGTCAGGCCTCAGGAGACACAGGTGTCCATGCCCCTCTGCCGAGGGCCAGGCAGCCGAGGCCCTTCAGAGCCTCCCCACTGCCCTGTCCCCTCTTAGCAGAGTTCCATCTATGTTGTTGGCTGGATGCCCTGGGGTTCACCATCTTCACTGGGCACTGGGACCCTTGTCTGTGTGACACATATTCTTATCTGCCAAGCAAGGCTACTAACTCCTGTTTCTATTGACAGAAAGGAGCAAAAGCCATGAGATGTCTGAGCCACTGAGTGTAATTCAGTTACCTACAATTTTAAAATTTAACAAGATACATGCGATATAGAGGTTACCCTTTTAACCATTCTTAAGTGCACAGTTCCAAGCTATTACATGTATTCACCTAGTTGACCAACCATCACCAGAAACCATCTGAACTCCTTTGATCTTGCAAAATGGAAGCTCCCCACACCCCCTAAACAGCTCCTTATTCTCCCCTCCCCAGATCCTGGAAAACATCATTTGACTATCTGTCATCGTGAGTGTCCTACTTTTGTAAGTCATAAAACATTTTGCAATCATAAAACATTTGTCCACAACACGCAGTGCTCTTCGTGCTTGCCCTCGTGGTATGTGTCAGGATTTCTTCCCATTTTAAGGCTGAATGACTTCCTGCCGTGTGGATGTACCTGTTTCCAAAGCCATTCATCTATCAGTGGAAATCGGGGTTGTTTTCCTCTTTGGTCTGCTGTGAATGCGGCGGCCACGAGCGTGTGCGGAGGAAGGTCCCTTCAGATACTTGCAGTTCATCCGTCTGCAGACATGCACAGAAGCAGAATTGCTGCAGCATGCAGTGACTTTATGTTCAGCTTTTTGAGGCGTGGCCATACTAGTTTCCACAGTGGTCGCACTATTTCAGTCTTGCTAGTGGTACACAAGGATTGCGTTTCTTCATATTCTTGTCCACGTTTTTCATTGTTGATTTACTTTTCATTATAATAATCATCCCACTGGATGTGAGGTTGAGTTACCTTTCTCTAGTGATTTGTGATGTTTAGCGTGAAAATGTATTTCTTGGTCATCTGTTTATGCTCTTGCGTAAACACCTGTGTCTGATACTTCTTATTACTATCAGAAAGTTTACACAAGGAAGCAAAAATAAGATGGATACTTAGCTAGAAACAATAGAATAGAGTACAGAGAGACCCATGCAAGGCTTAAGACAAATCCTTTAACCCCCTTGGCTTAGGGCACCCCCTAGCCAATGCGGGATGGGGGAGTCAAGCTGACCTTGACTTAGTGGACACAGCTCCCGGTGCAGTGGCCACTATTAGAAGCTTTCCGATAGTTCAGTATGTGGTCTGTCTTGTTAATGCCAAAGATACTGGGCTTACTACAAGCAAAGATAAAAATGTTCTGTTTTAAATATTTCAGAAGAAGCTGAATAGACCCATCTCCAGTCTGGCATTTGCCATTTAATCCTTGATTTTGGAAGCCTGGGAAGGACATCTAGCTGGCAAAGAGGAAATCTGCAACAGCAGCTCTGATTTTGAGTGGACACTGAGCATGGGGAATTCACTGTGAAGAGAAGGCTTCTTGTTGAGCTCAGTTTTCCCTGGTTTGTTATCCGGCCCTTGTAATGCAGGTAGGAACACTTGGCCTCAGCCCCAAAGATGGCAACATGATACAGCTTGAATTTTTGATCATAAATTCGTTATATATTTTTGCAAGATTCACATTTGTGTTTTTCCCCGTCAGTTTTATGATCAGTTGTGATTCCTGAATAGGACAGGACCGGCCTCCAGGGCCAGGTCTGTGAGATGTGCTGGTGCTTCCTTAGGAGGCAGGAGTTGGCAGAAAATGCCCAGGCTTGCAGCTTTTCCAGAAGTTATCACATTGTCCAGGAAGCATCTGTGCCTGCGTCAAGGGTCTCCGCAGGGACTGAGTGAGACAAATGCAGAGATGCTGAACGGGAGCACTCGCTGTGACAGCTCTGAATGCAGGCAGAGGGCCACTGACGTGGGTCACCAGGGACACAGCCGGCTCATGCTGAGTCACAGCACAGGGAGAGCTCTCTGCTTCTTGTCCCTTGCACCCACTTGAAATTCTCTTAAACTAAAAGAGTGTGATGATTAACTGTCTGACTGTCCTACTTAGCAATCATTTATTAACATCCTTTGCAGTGTTGGGAGAAGGTTCTATGTGGACGTTTCATTTCATTGTGTCTTAAACTTTAAGGTAAAGGTTAGTTCAGTGTTTATCTTCCATATTAAATGCCACCCACCAAGGTGTTCTTGTGACAGTTTTCTTCTTCATGTAGAATTTGCATCACAGGCATGGAGGAAGGGATCAGTGGCAGAGTGAGACATTTGGGCAGCACTGTGTACCAAGAGGAGGGAGAAACAGCCCCAGGTGACCTCACTGGCCATTATCTAAGTGACTGCCATGACTGCCAGTCCTGACCGAATGCCCATGTGCTGGCTACTTGTTGCTCCATTGAGTGCCAGCCCACCGTGCTGGAGCAGCCAGGCTTTCCATAGTTTGGGCACAAGATACCCTCAGCGTGGGCAGTGGGCTGTTGTACTTGTACTAATCCCTGTCTGGTAGAATAAGTTTGCTGCCTTGTTAAAGAGAAACATGAGTTTCTTTTGTAAATGTTGCGTCAAGTCTGTTTTCTAGAAGCAGTCAGATTTTGTTGGAATCAAGGTCTGCACGGCTCCCCTATGCTCATCCCCAGGGTCCCGAGGCACCACAGGCCTGTTATCCAGGCAGTAGCCCGGACACACCAGAGCACCGGATGCTGGCAGCCCCCGGCATGCGCTACTGCATTTGTTCCCCACCCGGAGCTGGCTCTCAGCCTCCTGTTCTACAGAGGTTGGCGACCCACACACAGCCTGCCTTCCCACACTGCCCGACCGCGGATCAGGGGCTCCTTTCCCAAGCAGAAGTCTTGCTGCAAGGTTGAAGTTCCCAGATAATGAGATGCTGCTCTTGAGGTCCTCTGTAGGCAAGCAGTGTTGTCTCCACCACCCCAACATCCTGTGGCTGCTGCGCATGTCAGGAGGGGGAACGGGGGCCCCCATATGGGCACCTGTGATTTGCTCACCTGCAGAGCAGCAAGGGTGGCAGCACTGCATCTCAGTACAGGGACTTCTGGATCTGGCACATCAACTCCCGGGGCTCCTGAAGGCAGCAGCTCTCTGAGGGCCTGGCTTCCCCTGTGGGCATCAGTCCCAGGGAGCCAGCCACGGGGGTTCTGCCAGTCTTTCTGCAAACACTCAGTTCTCGTGAGGAATTCCTTTCTGCTTTAGACGGTGTAAAGAATTTTTCCTCTGCAAATGAACTGACTGATAAGGATGGGACTTATTGTCTTGATTCATAAACGAGGTAATGGGGGCCGGGAAGGTTAAGAGCACACAGTGGATGAGTGCCCGAAGATGTGTGTAATCTTGCCGGTTATCTCTAAAGATGATGTGTTTACCTCCCATCATCAGACTGTGTCCAAAGCAAATCTAAACCGGGAAGAAAAGATGCTCAAGGACCCTCTGACAGCAAAACAGGATGTGTATCTAGAGAACTTGCCTTTGCCCACACGTTGAGGCTCGGGAAAGGCTAACTAATATTCATTCGACTGTGTTTTATTCTTTCAGAAAACAAGAAGCACAAGTGTGAGGAAACTTTATGAGGTGGCTAAAAGGAAAAGGAAATGAACAGCAGGCAGTGTGAGCTACAGCTGCAGCCCCAGCCGCCCTGCCCTGTGGCGGCTCCAGGATGGGGCTCCCTGCTGCCACCAGGGAAGGGTGTGAGATGTATCTGAAACTGCAACTCACGCGTCTGTTAGAAATTGCTAACTGCCCAAACCCTCAGCAAAGCTCATCTTAGTCTGAACTCTGAATCTTAGGTGCATCGTCTGTCAGCAGCGGGCAGCATTTGGAGTTAAATGTATGTTACTGAATAGGACAGCAATATCCAAGCACAGAAATTGGCACACAATTTCAAGGATTTTCTGGCAGAAGTAAATGCAAGCCTTATCTGAATGGACATGTTCTCACACGATTCTCACAGATAAAACTCTGATGATGATGGATTACACTCTGCAGTCATGCAGCAGAAGGGAAACTCATTCACCAAGAATGAAAGCCAATCAACAGAATCACTAAGCTGTAGGACTAGGTCTTCCTTTAAACACTTTAGAGGATAAAACTATTAAATAAATGTTATAAAATATTCTTAAAATGATCACATGCATACCAGATGAAAATTTAAAAATGTATGAGAATATTATGAATAGGAAAGTTAGATTTAAAAAAAAATAAATAGAACTTCTAGAAGTCAAAAATATGTAGTTTTAAAACATTATTATTGCATAGAACAACATATTAGATGCAGTTTAAGAAACACTGTTGGATGAAAGAAATATCTAAAAGATCTATAACTCAGGCATAAAAGGCAGAAAATATGAAACTTGGAGAGAAATTTAGCATACATCCGATGAGTTCTAGAAGGTTAAAGCAGAAAGAACGAGGATGTTTGGAGACTGAGCTCTTGCAATTCTCTTAGAGTTTAGTAAAATATTACTTTGTGAATTAAACACGGACTATTCCTGAGGAAGACCCTCTACAAAATCACTCACACAAAGATATGGATTATCAAAAAATAAAGAGGAGAATTTAAATCATAGAACTTTAAAACATAAGCAAAGACTAGACTCACTAAAACTCTCAACACTTAACCTCAGTGCAAGGGTTAGCAAACTGTGGTTCATGGTCAGCGGGCTTTATTGGCACACTCTCGTTAAATTCTGTGCTTTTTTGAAAAATGTAAATTAAAGGAAGACAATTTATTTAAAGAATTGGGAGTGAGGAGAAGATAACTTCTCTGCAGACCTGGGGCCATTGGAAAGGCAAATACTCCTCAGTACACATTTTTACGGCCGCCTTTATGTTACAGCAGCACAGCTGAGAACTTGTGCTGGAAACCATGTGATTTGCAAAAGCTGAAGGCTTTGCCATCTCATTGTTTATGACAAAGTTTAGTGATCCCTGGTGCAGAGGACAGGACTCAGCGAGGTGCATGGGATGGTGAGAAATGCAACAGGATGCTGGGAAACAGAAACGACCTTTGTGCACAAACGGCCCAAGCCGCAGACAGTGTCTCCCACATGAAGCGATCACAGCTCCTGAAAAATTCATCACTGGCACCCATTTGCCTTTGTATAGTAATGGAAGTGGACACAGCCTCACGAAACGCACCCGAGCTTTACACCATTCTCACACATTAATTAGGGCATTTATCGGTGTCCTTTTGTCAACAAAAAGGAAACTGAGGCCTTCCAAAGTGATGCAGTTTATTCAAGATTACTGAGCTAACAAGAGGTGGGGAGAGTTGATGCCAGGTCTCAAAATTTGAGTTCAGGATTCTACAGTCTTTAAAGATAATTGGCTAGAAACAGACAGGAAATAGAAACTTCACTGGAAAGCCTATGTAAATCTGTAACACGTGAGCCGGCATTGTCTAAGTAGGTTAAATATGTTTGACCTGTATACTTGGCTGCTGTTATCAATTAAATGGGTTAGTTTGATTTTCCTTCTTATAGGCTTTATTTCCAGAGAGGATGCTGTTTAGAAAAGACTACTGAGTTGCTGGTTCATCAGCACCATTTTTTTCCTCCTGTGGAGCTATAGACTGCCCCTGCCCCCCTCACTGGCTGGTTTTGGCAAAGATGCTGATCGGACTCTGAGTCTCACCCCTAGACGTGTGGGGAAGACAAATCTTCTCAAAGAATTCCAATGCCTGGTTCTTTCTTCTGCCTCTAGCCAACTGTGTCAGAATCCCCAGTCTCAAGTTTTAAAAGCTCCCCAGTTATGTTTATCAGCTTTCTGTTATTGAGACAAAATATCTGTGGTAACTTAACTTCTCACAATTTCTGTGGTTTTAGTCTATGGTTATGTGGTCAGTCAGTGGAAGGTTCCTTTGTTTAATTCATGAGTCAGTCAAGTCCTGCTCTGCTAGTGGCCCGGGTACACTGGGCAGCACCAGCTTATGCAGAAGGGCCTCAGTCAGCACTGTGGGGCGTTGGTCTCTGTTGCTCCCAACTGTCACATTCTACACTATGTGGCCAGTCCTCTCACACACTGGCCTTTGGAGGGCACTTCTGAACCACAGCGCTGGTGTTCCTAAAATGTATTCAGGGCTAAGAACTAGATTTTCATGAAAACAAGAAAGTTGGAGAGATGCCACACAGTTTGCTTCCCTCGTGACCAAACAGAATGGTCTGTGGAATGTTAGGCATTGTCTGCTATAATGACCCAGCTAGGCGTCCACTGAGTTGGAATTTCCTTCTGTTCTCACTGATGTGTGTGCCATGCCTACGTTGCATTTGTGCAGGGTGGAAAATGTATCAGGACCCATTGTTCCCACATCACTCTACCTCAGGCATCATACCTGGAAGCAATCAGATGACAGCGTGGAGGAGGAAAACAAAACCAGCTTTGTATTTATTCTCATGACTGGCAGCAAACAGGGGACTAACTGCAACAGGGGCAGGAGGCCTAGTGAGCCTTTGATGCCCTCGCAAACCAAGGCTTGGCGTATATGAGATTGGTGCCCATCTGAGGGACCCTACTCTTCAGGGTAGGCTCTGTTGGATATAGGGAAACAGCTCAAGCACTATTCCAATCCGGTTTGATATTTTTATACTGAGAGGAGAATTCTAACACTTCTTGGTCTGTGAGAAGGGGCTGTGGGAGTTCCACATGAGTTAAACCAAGAAACAGAAACTGTGTGGCCCAGGGCTGACCTGTAGACTCCCCATGGCATGGAAACTTCTAGAATGATTGCTCCCTGAAACATCAGCGATGAAGGGGTTTTACCAAAATAGTGTGTTGAAGGTTTGGGCAGCACTGCACGGTGCTTCCCACAGGGAAACGTTGCTGAGAGAGAGAGAGAAATGTGGAGTGTGATACACAGCGTCTCCCCTTTTTGAGGTGACTACACCCCGACCCCATCAGCAAGCTGCATGCTGCTCTCTGGCTGCAAGTCCCGAGGACATTCGGAAAGGTCAGGGGATTTGCAAATTGAGGGCTGGACAAAAGCATTTGAGTCATATTTCTGATCAAGTAATGATTTATTTCTGCACATATGAAAGTGGGTTTTTGAAGCTACTGAATTAATTGTTTTTGTTGAACAGCCAGTTCAGGGAAGGGTTTATTAATCCCTTTGGAAGATGACTGTAGAAAACATGTTCTCTAAGATTAAGATCATGTCCTTTATATAAGTCCTGATAGAAAGTTCCTTCCTTGGCTCTAAAATTAGAAAAAGACCTTTTTGCAAACCACAAAGCCCAACAAATGTCGAGTGGACGTTTTGCACTGGAACCTTTCCAAGGGGAATGAACTTGCTCAGTGTTATTTTTAATTGCAGGCCACACAGTTCAGCTTACGCTGTCCACATGAAACTAATTGTAGGATTTATGGGTTTTTTTTTTTTAGCCAAATCTAAAATCTCTATGTAAGTAACCCCAAAGATCAATCAGGGTGGGGGGAAATTCTGCCTCACAGTTCCAAATACTCAGCCATGTGGAAAGACACCGGGCAGGACTTCAGGTGATTCGGATCCTTCCTTTATTAGTTTCAGTGTCATTTGGAAAAATTAACTCTGAGATCCTCCCTCTCCACCTCTCCCCCTTTCTCCTTCTTTCCTCTTTTTATATTTTTAGACGATTGCAGCTGGGACACATTCTATATCTACCCCTCCTTTTATAGACAAGGAAGTTATTCTAGAGAAGACAGTTTATTGAGGTGGTGTTGTAAAATCATATCTTTGTCCTTTTCCCTTCTATGTCTCTCCCTAACCCATAGCCCAGCTTCTTAAAAATGAGCCACACAAGGTGACGTCGAAGTTCACAACAATCTTCAGAGCCTTTACCAAGAATACAGCATCTCCTTTCCCCCAGAAGGGGAAGTTTAATAGTGTTGGCTTTCAGTGATCGTTTTCTTTTATATGTGCGCTACCTTCTAGGCTCATCACCAAATATTTATATCTTGCCCTCAATGAATACACATTTGGTGTCATTTCATCTCAAATTACATTTTAGAAAAATATTTCCACTTCTAAGAAAGAGGATGGGAAGAAACAGAGAGAGAGATGAAGGGAGGAGAGATTAAGAGAGAGATTCAGACAGACAGACAGACAGACAGACAGATGTACCTGTAGGTCTATAGTGGTTGTAAATTTATGTAACCTAAGTAGAAATAAAAAGTTCTAGCTCCTCATCTTTCACACACACAAAAAAGCCCTCCAAGATTTAATGTCAGCGAGATACTGTCAAAATGTAACCAGAGTGTGTGGTTCCGTATTTAGCATGTTAGGATTTATGTGAAGTTATTTTGTGTCTAGCACAGCCTCCACGTGGGATCACAGGTCTGCCCTCTGAAAGCTGGCTGTCCAGGGTGAGACTGTGATAGCACCTGTGTCACCATCTCTCACGCCCTGTGCTGCTAAGGGGTAAGGATACAGTCAGTGCATATGCTTGGGAGTCAGAGACACTCACTCTGGGAGGATAGTTATTTTCACTTGGAGACACATTTAAAATAGTTTTGTAAGAAAAGATAAGAAAAGAAAGGGGAGGAACATTTCAGAGAACAGGGAGATCATGGTTCTAAAAAGGCACAATATCAAGAAGTCCGAACTGGCTGCGTGTCCCTTTCTTTACCCAGGGTTTCTAAAAGTACTATGAGTCTCCTTCCTGTCCTGAGCCCATCTTTCTCCATCCTGGAGTGCTCTTACACATGTGGCACAGTGTTAACAGTAAGTCCCAGTCAGTGTAACGTGAACAGAACAGTTGGTGGCTGCTGAGACGTACTTCTGGGTGCTATGAGCTTCAATACAAGGGTTGAAAATGTTTTCCTCCATGGATATGGTCACAGCCATGCTAAATAACAGAAGCTGTAGGTAGGGTTATGATCCACTAATGACAAGTTAGAATTAATGAGAGTTTAACAAGTCTGCTAAATACAAAATCAATATAAAAATCAATTGAAATCTCATCTATCAGAAAAACACTATTACAAAGCAAAACGTAAAATTTTACTGTTTAACACAGCATTAAAATATCACAAATCTAGTAATAAATCTAACAAAACATACGCATGACTTCTACAGAGGACAAAGCACCCAATAAAGACTTGCTTTAGAACATAGAGCAGCTCTTGCTACATGGAGGCTTACATCAAGATTGTTGATTGGAAGATGCAGTGTGGTAAAGATGTCAGTGCAATTCCCAGCCACACAGGGCAGAAAATTCATACCGAGATCCACGGATATGACCATACTAGCATAGGACAGAGGTAACACTAATGGATGATCAGTTTGGGGGTATTCGGTATTCATAAGGAAAAAACAAAACCCTTTCATCACAAGAAGTATGAAAAGCAATTGACAAACAATGTGTAAAAATATAAGTTATAAAACTTTTAGAAGACAATACACAAGAACCTCTTTTGATACATTCATTATGTAGAAAAATGTTTTAATAGGTACAGAAGCATAAAATAAATATGACTGCATTAAAAGTAAGAGCTTTCACTAATCTAAAAATAAACTCCTTCAATTAAAATAGAGTTTATAAATGGCAGATGTTTGTAACAAGGGTCAAATACCCAAAACATCTAAGGGACTCTGCCACATCAGTAAGATAAAGTCTAACTGAGGGGAAAGGGGCAGAAGACTTGAAGAGATATTCCACAATGAGGAAATCCAAATGGCCACCAACCAGAGGGGCGAGGCCCCGATCTTTACAGTAAGAAAGAAAAACAAATGAAACCAAAGGAGATTCCACTGCATATATAAGGTCACGGGTAAAAATGTAAAAGCCTGAAAATCCCGTGTTTGAGGGGAAGTGGGGAGTCTGAGAATTCAGGTAGCACAGTGTTGTCTCCTCAGAAGGTCTCTGAGCATCATCTGACCTCTGTGTGGCCAGCAGCTCCTCTGTTGGTGTGTATCTCAGAAATTTCTGCACATTCATGTGCAAGAACCTTCTAGCAGTACATTTGAAATACTAGCATTGCAACTCCCAAATATCTATTGTGAGGCACAAAAAAAAAAAAAAATCAATGCATTAACGATTATGCATCAGCGGAAATGAATAAATTGTAACCAAGCACTATAGCAAAGATGAATTTCGGTGTCCAAAGAGGAAAGTAAGGCAGCCAATACCACTTACATCCCTGCAATATACTAGAGCTCCAGAGCCAGGCAGGACTGGTGTGCGTGCCAGGTTGTATGCATAGTTGGTGAAGTTGGCAAATAAGAGCACAATGAAGGATTTATCATAATATCAAGATAACGGAGAGCTGTGGAGGGAGAGAGAGGGTCCTGCTCACAGAGAGGCAAACGAAAGATCCCTGGGGGCTTTGATCCAGACCTGTGTGTAACTTTATACCTCCTGATATATCCACAAAAGGAAGTGGGGCTGGATGGGGTGAGGGCAGGCGGGTAGGAAGAGTGTCCTAGTTATCAGGGGGAAGCGGGACTCCCAACCTGATAGATGTCAATATGCAGAGTTTCTGTCCCCTGAAGTTGAAGAATGAATTCCAAAGGACAAAGGAGGTTCAGAGGAGTAAAAGTGTGTTGTGGACAAAGAATAGCACCTGAGAGATCGGAGGAGACCCGGGAATGGGCTGCCACTGAGGCCCTTTGTCAGGGTAATTTACACAGGAAGTCACAACATAGACCACAGAGTGGGCCAAACCCCAGTTGACTTGCAGGAATATAAATGTATCTCCTTGGCTGATATTGGTCCAATAGGGAACCAAATCTCACAGCAAGGGTGCATGAACAGAACAAGCATCTTTGGTAGGAGATGGGTCTGGACTCTCCGCTCACCCGCCCGGTAACGGATGCCATTACCTTCTTCATCCTGAGGCGCCTCTGAAGAAAGCCAGGCCTCAGGATGAAGACGCCACAGCCAGGCTGTACACCCCCCTGGAGAAGGAGAATGACAGGGGATTTCAGTGCAGCCAGCATCACCTGGGCAGGAGGTCCAGATGGGGATCAGGACCCCAGTCCCTCTCTGACTATCAACTTCTATGTGACTTAGCTGCCTATAATCCTGGGACATAGCAGCAAAGCAGGCCAGTGACCCGTCGGCCAAGAGAACAGGAGGAACTGAGGCCTCTCCTCTGAGGAGACCAGCCCTGTTCTCCGTCTTCATGTATGCTGTAGTATTTGCCTTTCAATGTAGTGAATGAAACATGCATTTTATAGGACTTAATTTTTCCACAAATAAAGTGATACATCAAAAGCGTAAGGTAAGGTAAGAACATTGGTGTTTTACTTCTGCAGATCAGAAAATACTTATTGTTAACAGTATATAATCACTTACTTTGCACATGGTACTAATTTTTACTAGATTTAAAGAGCTGCCACTTTCTTCTCAGACATTCCCGCAGTGTTCATCATTTGTCCCTTTTATACTTGCACTATTCTGGTACTAATCTTTTTATTCACTACGATAGCAAAAAATTTGCACTGAGTAGTAAACACATAAACTAAATATGCATATTTTTAATATCACTGCAGTAGGAAGCTAGAAGGACCCAATTGCTTCTGCATACGCTGATTTGGATAAATTTTGAGTAACCATTTCAAGGCTCATGAAAAGAATTTAAAAGTAATTTTTAAAAATTCCCTAAACTTCATTTAAATATATAAGGAGCTGTCCAAGGAGCTGGCATCACCACGTAAATGATGGAGAAGCAGCTGTGGAAATGTCTTCTTATTATTCTGCTGACTTAATCCCATTTCCAACACATAACCTGAGTACGTGTCTTCCCACGCCCCTTTTCACCTTATCCCAACAATACCAAGCACAGTAAAACTCCCAGCTGAAAATAGTCTTTGGTAATTTTTTTTTAAACACAGAAAGCGATTTTCTATTATTTTTGCCACCCAATAGGAAGAATTGATGGTGCATTAATCAAAAAAACAATTTCATTAAAAAAGTTGATCTTTACCTTGAGTGTAACCTTACGACAAAGCCAGTGATGAAACTTAAATTAGAAGACTGAAACCCACTTTAGTCTTATGCCACTAAAAACGCATGTCTCCAACTACTTTCTAAGTTCGAAACTCAGGAACTGTTACTAATTCAATTGATGCATGTGGGTGATTAACTATTTGGAGAATTAAAACTTAAGCGTTACTTTTCCATTTTGGTTATTTATTCAGTGAAAACTGAAGGTAAAGCCCACAGATTCCGAGGGCGTGGTCATGGACAGCGGAGGGCCAGGATTCACTGGAACACTGACTGACTCCATGTCCTTCGGGGTTAGTGGAGAGACAGGCACAGTGACCGGGCCTCAGTGAGGGCCGGTAGTGGTCACTCTCCTGAACACAGAAGTGTTTTGCCCGTGCCCCCGATTCCTTACTTCCACGTTGGACGGCTGCACCTGGGTTTTGTCTCTCCAGTGTCTTTCCCTCTTCCTCCCCGCCTTCCTCCCAGCGGCTCTGGCCTGCCCTCACAGCCCACCAAGCATTTTGCCAGGTCCTGACACGTTCTCCTTCTGAAGAATACCTCCAGGCCCTGCTCTTGCCAGCAGGGACAAATTTCTACCTAATCCCCAGCACTAGTCCTGTGCCCTAAAACTAGTACTCATGCTCAGTCAGACAAGTATCATCTAAATACAAATGGGTCTACTTGTGCACGTGGACCTCTTCGGTGGTGACCAGTGCAACCCAGTTAATGACATGAAAAGGCCCCATTCTTTTCCTTCCTGCCCTGGCTCTTACCTCACTTGGTCCTCATCTCATTCTGGCAAACAGCTAACGATGGTCATCAGTTGGTACTGAGCACATCCCTGCACCCACCCGGTTCACAGCATCCCATCACCCCACCCTCACGAGCACCCTAGAAGCTGCTGCTGTTGCACATAATAATTGTTGCACATAATATTTTCAGTTGCACATAATAATTGTACATGTGGATGGTGTGGTGTGATGTTTCCAGACATGGTAACGCTGTGTAATGAGCAAATCAGGGCAGTCACCAGAACCGTCACCTCCAACATGTGTCATTTTCCAGGTGGGGAGATTCAGTGTCCATCCTGTAGCCGTTCTGGAATATAGACCAGATTACTGTGGGTGATGGCCACAGTGCCGTGCAGTGGAATGCCAGGCTCATTCCCCGCCCCAGCTACTACCATTATTATCTGGGCATTTCAGATGAGGGAACCGGAGTTCAGAAGAAAGAAATTGGTGCTCAGAGTTGCACGGTTGCCTGAGAGTTGGGGAAGCAGAAACAAACCCAGGGACCAGGCTCCAAGGTCTCCATCCTTTCTCTTTGCCTGCATGTCTTTGCTGGCAGGTTCCTTAAAGAACATATGGCCCCTTTGCGCCTTTGCACAGAACTCCTTCCCTTCTTTCGGCTTGGCTACATCCAAACCACCCTTCACTGGCGGTTTCCATACTTCTTGCCCTTTCTGTGGCTTGGTGCTATTGCGATCCTTACTCTCTTTGGCTCTATGCAATTTGCCCCATCAGAACATATTCGAAACACATGTGCATTGTTTCAAGTCCTCTTGCGTGTGTTATATTTGAGTCTTCAGTGCTGGTGAGTGTGCTGGTGCAGATTCATCATCAACCACGGTGACTTTGCCCCAGGGCACATTTGCCACCATTTGGAGTCCTTTAGTTTTTTCAACTTGAGGAGTCACAACTGGCATTGAGTGCTGCTAAACACCCTACAATGAGAAGCAGCAAACCCCAGCAAACCTGCCCCCCCATGCAGTAGACATAGGCTGGCAAACGCAGAAGTCAGGGAACACACAGAATGGAGAGAGGGATCTATGCAGCATTTATTTGCTCCCAGGGTGTCATCCAAACAGATTTTTCACAGGAGTTTTAAGTGGTGGGCTTAAAGAAGCAGGCACAACTTCCGGGAGGTCATGCTGTGACTGAGAGGTGGTCACCATGCAGAGTCAAGCAGGCTGTGTCCAGCTGGGTCACAGGCGAGAGCTGGTCACCAGGACTTGGTTACACAGGGCAGCTTTTAGATGCACCACTGTGAAGAACTGGGAGGAGAGGAAGAGCTGTAAACCATTAAGGGTGACTGAGCTCTGCTTCTGGTGTGTGAAGGTCCAATTTATATTCAAAATGGAGATGGAGGCGACAGAAAATCCGAAGAACTCTAACAAAGGTCGGCTAAAGGAAGGCTCTGAGGTCGCCTTCCAGGTTTGCACAGAGAAGTCAGTTGTTCTGTCCTCTGAAGGGCAGCTCTTTCCCAGGCCTCCTAGGGACCTCATCATGGTGAACAGAAGCCCTCCTTTGTCTCACTTTGTTAAACTGGCTTGCAGCTGGCCTCTGAGACACCGCGTAGCTGGACCACATAGCCAGAAAGCAACAGGGCCGTTAGGCTGCACAGGGAATCTTTCCTGTTCATTGTTTTGCCAGCGCTGTTGGTACAATCCAGATCCCACACGCGGCGTGGTGCGGCCCACCGTCCTAACTCAAACATCCACACTTTCCGCCCCTCACAGTGAGCTCACAGCACTTCTCTAAGCCAGCGCAAAACCAGAGTTACTGTGGCCTAACACGGAGCTGCAACCTTCACTGCATCTGAAGAATTACATGTGCATCCACTGAGAGCTGCTAGCAGTGATAGGAGAGAATTCCATAGTTTTAGACAAAAAAATAGTTTCCCGCACAGAAAGCATGATCACAATCCATTTTTTCCTAAATAAGGTGATAGTTTTCTTACATCTTTAAAAAAAAAAGATTAATCAAAATGTTAATGAATGTTAAGTGACTTTTGGACATTCGCCTAGAATGAGTTTTTCTTTCTTTTCTATTTTTTAAAAAACATTTTCTTGAAAAGGAAGTCTATAATAAGTGTGTGAAGTTATTTTTGGGACTCTTTTTAGAGCTAAGTAGGATCTTTGCATACAGAATGACTTTCGGATGGAAACTTGGCCTGGACATGGGAAGGCTGTGAATCCAGAGTTAAGTCTGGAGAGGACTTCCAGGTCCAGCGTGGGGGTCATGTTGGTGACATGTCCATTCTCACACAACAGAAAGTCTGTGTAAGAGGTTTTGCATTTCAGTTAATGTCTGAGATCTGAGTAGTAGCTAATTGTACTAATGTTTTCAAATGTCTTGCAATCCTGCATCATCAGATGACTTATCCAAGCCCAGATTTAACTTCTGTCTGCCACGAGTAAGAATTGCTAAGGGTAAGTCAACCAATAATTCTCAGACTCCTATATATTAAATACCAAGCGTAAGCAGCCTAGAAGTCAGGAGAGAACTACAGATACCTCAGATACCTCCTTAATTTGCTGCTTTCAGGTATGTATTTATGATTACCTAGCAGACAACGCTGCACATCAGAGGAAACATTTTTGCATCAATTAATATGGGTAAGTGCCTTAGTTACTTTTCCTGTCGTTCAAACAGAATACTCAGAACGCACAGGTAAAGGTAAAGGAGGAAAGGGTTATTTCAGCTCAGAGTCTGTAGCGGTTTCAGCCTGAAGTTGGCTGGCTCCAAGGCAGGGTGGCATGGCGGAGGGGCATCGTAGAGGAGAAATAGTCCATGGCAAGGCAGGGAATGGTAGGGGGGCAGCAGCAGCAGCAGCAGCAGCAGCAGTCTCTCTGCCTTTTATCTCTTCAGGCTCCCTGCCCTTCGTGTGGGGCCACCCATACCCAGGGTGGACCTTCCCGTTATCCATACCCATAACTACACCAAATCAATCAGTGGACTAATTTAGTAATCACACACTTAATCCCATCATCTCTGCTGAAAAGCCCCATCTGTGACCAGATGAGCCAATGGGGGCCATCTAAACACAAGCTACGACAGATGAATTTACTTGAATGAACTTGCAAAACTAATTTGCCTTCTCTGAATCGGTATTTAACCTTAGCTTAAAGGCGAAGAGGGGATGCTCTTAAACACGTGATAAGTGGTGCTTAAAAAGTTCTACATGATACAGGGTAGGTCTGAAATGGGTTCTGAGTTCAAATGGAGAGTGTAACGTTCACTTGCAGTCTGTTCTTGGACAGGCTGCTCCATCTCCACAGCCCAGTTTCTTCTCTTAGACGAGTCAGCAATGCCTCTCTCCCTGTTGTGACAGGTAATGAACCACACGACCAGAAGGTGCCGCAAGTGCCTGGCATGGAGTTTCAGCTTCAGGACACACACGGATGCCTCTGGCTCCTCTCGTGCTCCATACTTTGTTTCACTTAACTTCCATTCAGACTTAGTTTCGGGTTATTATCTCCGCTCTCCTCTGTGAGACTCGCAGGACACGCTCAGACTGTTGATTTACTTGCTTTTAGATGAAGACATAGAAACACGCTTTCTCATTTGAAAGATGGAATGGAGGAAGACACTTTCATTTCCTTGCCTGTCTCACAATCATTTATCTTTCATACTGTTACAGATTTCTCCTTGAAGATGGTTGCTTCCGCACAGAACGTGGGAAGGGCATGGGGCTTGCAAAATGCAGTGCCGCAGATCCCGGGGCTGCTTCCATTCCTACAGGGACTGATTGCTTTAAAATATCTCACTCCACCCACAGTCTACCATCTTCTCCCAGCAGAGCTGTGAGGAGGGAGGAGCTGTGTGGTTTCTCCTTTTGAAAGGAAGACCCTGAAAGAGAGAGTATAAGGGGTTTTCTGAAACCACCTGTAAGCTATGGACAGAGAAATACTAATCCACATCTCACAATAATCCTATGGACTTACCTCCTGATGACAAAGGGAAGGCTACTTTGAACTTTGGGCTTCCTAATATCACTACTCCAATGCTTTAAACTTGGTAGCCTTTTCAAACAGCCTGATCTTGTTTTTCCATGTAGATATACATGTCAACATGGCCTGCACAATTTTATGACACATTCCTAATTAAAGAGTCACCTGCCAAAGTCTCAAGGCTCGCTGAAATAGTCAGAATAGGATGAGATCTATTGCTACCGTGTGACAGTGTGTATTAGAAGAGAATTTGCACTGACCTTCAGCTTCGCTTTTATGGTGATACATGACACATTTAACTTCGCGAAAACTTGGTTTTGTTTGAAAAATTAGCAATGATTATACTGAAAGTACCAATGGAGAAATGTGGGAAATACCTAAAAAAATGTGAGTGTGGGTGATTTGGAGACTCATGCTAAGTTTCTCTTTCTTCCCCGCTGTGCCTTTTCCAGTGGTGAAGAGAGGCATACTTGCAATAAAGTGTGAAAACGTAAGTGAACAGTTCAGTCAGTTGTTACAAACCAGCCACGAGGGTCGGGAAGCACAATCTTGGCAGCGCAGCTGAGACCTCTCACGCCTCTCCTCCCTGAATTCTCACAGCAGTAAGGCTTTTCCTGGGCTTGCCCTTAATGAGAGCGAATCGTCTCATCTGCCCTGCTTTGTGTGTTGATTCCTTCAGTCACTTGGCACACTTAAGACCCATGTTGTGGCGATGTGCATACTGGCCCATGCATGGCCTCAACCTCACGTTGAAGGGTGTGCAGGTCCTTCATGGTTCGGGGCTGGCACACACAGCTGGAACCTTCCCCTGAGCTGGGGTGTTTTAATCACACTGGATGTCAGGTTTGCCCAGCGTTTTGCTAGAGACTGAACCCAGGGCCCTGTACATGCTAGGCAGCTACTCTGCTGGTGATCTGCGTACCCAGCTTTGGGAATTCCATTCTACTTTTGTTTAATGACTGAAATATTCGTATACATGTTTTGCCTCCTGTTAATGTGCTAAGTGAGAATGATTGATCTTTTAAACAGATTACTTACTTTAAAACAATCTTGCATTCCAGGAATGAATATACTTGGTTGTGAGTGGTGTCCGATTATATCTGTTATTATTTTGTTTAAATTTTTTGAAGCAAATTCATACAAGATTTGGACTGGCAATTTTACCTTCTTTGTCAGAGTTTGAAATGAAAGTTATGCTGTTTCATATGAAATAGGCTGTGGAGTAGTAAGCTTCTTTTCGTTTTTTTTTTTTAAACAAGGTAAAATTAAATTCCTTACTTTTGTGGCAGAATTAACTGGAAAAGCTAGCTGGGCCTGGGACTTTCTTGTAGGAAGACTTATAATTACAGTTTCAATTTCTTTAAGAATTATAAGATTCCACATTTTCTATTATTAATTATATTTTTCTAGTATTTGTCCATTTTATTTAAATTTTCAAGCATATTAGCATTATATAATTTCCTCCTTTGATATTTGTAATTTTCTTGTGACACTCTCATTTAAAAAATTATCATGATCTTTGTAATGATTTCTTTAATTTTTTCATTTTTTCAATCAGTCTCACTTTGAGTTTATTAAATTTTTCAAACTCCCTAGGAATTAAAATTTTAGTTTGATCTTTTCTGTCCCATACTTGTTTTCAAATGTGTCTGCATTTATCCTTAGTATTTTCTTTCTACTTCTTTGGGGAGGTCGGGCAGTTTGCTAAGTTTGTAGGAGGGTCTTCTTTTCTCATATATTCTCATCTGTATTTTGATATAAAGGTTTATCTTTAAAATTCATTTCAAATTGTTTCTTAGATTCCTTTGTGATCTCTTCTTTTGCCCATATATTTATGTAGAGAAATATTTTTACTTGAAGTTTATTTTATAGAAAAAATACATATATATATATATATATATATAGTTGATTTTTAGCTCAATTATTTGTGGTCAGGACATTTATTCTACATGATTTCAGGTTTAAGAAATGAATAGAACTCTGATTCAGAAGAGCAAATTCTGTTAATATTCCATGAGTGCATGGAAAGCATTTGTATGTTTTAATTATTGAGTGCAGTACTCCATACATGTCAATTAAATTAGATTTCCAATATTGTTCAAATATTTTATGTCATATGTGTGATTGTTGTGTCTCTCACAAAATGGTATGATAACTTATGCTACTTCTGCAGATTTGAAGGTTTTTTCTTATAATGTTTTAAATCTTTATTTATTGTGAAACTATATTTTAAGGAGCTTTTGTATCTAGAATTGATGATTTCACTAATTAAATTAGACCTTTTCTTTTTACACAACATGACTTTCAAATATAATAATGCTTTGCCATAAATCTTTCTTTTCAGATATTAAAGTAGTTGCACTTTAATTAGTTTAGTGTTTTCATGGAATATTTTTCTAATCTTTTAAATGATTTTTCTTAAAGTTGGACCTTCATTATCTCTATTTTTTTACTTTCTATATTTTTATTTCTTAGGTGTTTTGCATCTGGTGGTTATTTACGAAGCTCTGCGTGTTGTATTTCTCTCCTGTGACAAGGTTATATGTGTCAGGACTCCCTTTCCAGCCATACCTGAGTCTTTTCTTTTCCACCCCTACATCCTCCAACTGCTTCCTATGCAAAATGGCTTAGTGCCCAAAATTCTGAGTCATTCACAGCATCAGGCAAACAAAAGAAAGGGATGAAGTGGGCTTGGTCTTTGCATTAAATTTACAGGCATATGGTCACGTGCTGCACAGTGACATTTTAGGTGACAGACTGCACATATGGCAGTGGACCCAGAATAGCATGTCGCCTGGTGACATCATAACCACTTTATTTTGCGTAAATGCTGCCTGTGATGCTCATGCACAGCAAGGTTACTCGGTGGCATTTCTCAGGATCCATTGTTAGGCAGTGCATAGGTGTATTTTTCACTGACATTTGTTTAGAAATCTCTTCTTGATAGATACAAACACAAAGAAATAGCTCTAACCTGAAGGATAGCAAAAGTGGAAAATTGACAACTGTCAGGTACCCTGTGTCCCAGGCATGCACACGCAATGATGGCCTGGAGCCGGTGGCGCTGCCTGTCCC